TAGTGTATGGTCTTTATGTCCCTGCTGATCAGCTAGAAAACCAGAAGCCTTTAAATTTGCACGTCATTCTCATCAGTCCTACTGAAGCATCAAACAGCCGGGAAGAAAATGGCGAAGTAGCATCTGCTAAGAGACTGAAACTAAATACAGATGACGCAGCAAGCACTGCTTCTCCCTCTTCATCAGTGGTTCCTGGTGACCTTGATCACAGCGCCCCAACTCTGAAGAAAAAGGAAGTACAAAATGCAAGTGCCCCGAACAAGGCAGAAACATTGTCAGAGTGCTCAGCTTCAACCTCTCTCAGAAACAGTGAATGCCCAATAAGGGAAGTTGTTAAAGATGTCTGCGAAGTACTGCAGAAAGGGGATGCATATGTTTTAGACATTGACTTAGATTTTTTTTCAGTTAAAAATCCATTCAAAGAAATGTACACACAGGTAAGCGCGACAATGGAGAGGCCTCTTACCATTCACAAAAAGAGTACCAGTCCTAGCATTTATGTCTATGGAGAAACTTTCATCTAAGGTAAATTAGCAGATCAGCTGATCATGATTAATGATTCATGGTAATATTTGAAGGAGAGACATTCTAAGGGAGTGTACACTCCAGAGAATTACAACAACCTAATAGGGGTAGGTCCTTACGTTTGAAATGGCTATTGAGTGCACAATGAAGCTCAGAGGTGTGTGGCTCACTTCTGCTTGTTGCTTGGGACATAAAAGCTGTGCTTGGGTTTCCAAAGGTAATGTTCCGAATGCCCACAGCAAGATTCATCAGGGAGGGATGACAGATTGTATCCTTTTTTATGATACTGGAAAGCCACAATGCAAAGCAGTTAGCACCTTTTCTTCATGTGAACAGATTTTTAGGAACTAACTAATGTGCCCTGAAAATTGGGCGTGGCATTTAGGTTTACAAATTCTTCTGCAACATCTTGACTGTTTTTAGCATTTAAATCTCTTTTTAACATTGTTTTAACTTCAGTCTATGCTGGAGAACATCTGACATCTTTGAGTTTCAACTAGACTACTGCTTCCTTGTTCACCGTAAAGAAGTGAATAGAGCGCCCCTGACCTCTGTTAGCTTCTGACATTCAGAATTTATGATCACAGTATCTTCAGACAATATGCAATGCCAGTTGTTCTGAATCACAAAGAGAAGCGTACAGCAAAGGGAAAACACTGTGGGGGTCTTGCCATATAAGAATAAAATTCAATACCCCTCTTAGGGCTTGAAATACATTCTGAATAAAATAACGGAGGAGTTTTTTGAAGGGGGTTGGTTGGTTGGGTTTTGGGGGTGGGGTTTGGTTTTTTTGCTGAGCTCTTTTTTCGGTTTTGTGCTATGATACGTTCTCAGTTCTAGGAACCACTTTTGGAAGTAGTCTTGCACAGAGCACCCAGTATACCTTTTTTGATATAACAATTTCATTTGCAGTTAACATTTCTTAACTATGTTCCCTCTGTTGTAAATTACAATAATTCCATCCAAACATTTTTCCCAAGTTAACACTTGAAATGTAAGAAACCAAGGAAAAGCTAAAAAGCAAATATAGTTCACCAGTCCAGAAGAGGATTGTCTTCCCACTAAAACAGTCTAAAATCCAAAACGTTGCCCTAAAGATGCTTTGTATTTCTGTAAAAATTGAATAGTCTACCCTTCCTTTCTCCCTCTGCTCTGAAAAATTCATGAGTGTTGACCTTTTTAATGCTGTTAAGTAAATAATGAGATCTGTTTATCCTTGATTAAATAAACCTGAATATTATCAAGGAGTAGGGCTGACAAGCCCCTGTATTAGTTTACTTGTGAACTTGTTGGCCAGGCAGCCTGAAGCCTTTACCTGTCCTGTTTTCATTTACAGTCATACTTTCCTGTTGGTTTTGTCTGCCTAAATCTGCCATCTCAGTTTTAATCAGCATCTCAGTGGGACCTTAGTTTAGCAACATGTATGTTTAATTTCAGAGAGTCTTTAACTAACAGATTGTCAATACTTAGCTTTTAAAGCTGTGTTCTTGAAGTCAGGTTTAAAGTTAGACAATTCCAAAACGTTTGGCTGAGGCCATGAAGTGTTGCTTTCTCAAGCCTCACAGCATCTTCCTCACCTGCATTTACAGAGTTGTCTGCAGTACTAGAGGAATGATTTTGGTGATCAAATTCTTTTCTTGAAGAAGGAAGGCTTTTGAGGATTTTGTTTCTCATTTGAAGAGTCTAATTTTTTGCCTCTTTTTTCTTTTTCAAAGACAGAATATGAGCTTTTGCAAGAGTTGTACAATTTCAAGAAGCCTCATAGAAATGCAACAGAGGTATGGTATTTCCTTGTGGGATGTATGAGGGAATGATTCTTTTGATTTACCCAATGAAAATGAGTTACAACAAGAAAGGAACCTATGAAAAGTGCTTAATGAAGTGGTCTCCAATTAAGCTATGCAGCATGCTGAATGCTAATCAGCAGCATCTTAGGAATTCTTTCTTATTAAACATTTCGGTTAAACATGTGGATTGCATAAATATTTAGCATGAGTGTGAAAATTAATTTCTGTAAACAAGTGGTAATTGACAAGGAAGAAATGAAAACATAGTCATCTCCAGTCTCGTTCTTTTTATGGCTCAACAGGGCTTTGGTTTGGGTTTTTTTTATTTTGTTCGGGGTTTTTTTGTGGTTTGTTCTTTTTCCCCCCTCTCCAGGCTCTTCCCTTCCTTGCCCTAGTTGCTCCTACTTCATAGTCAGAGCCGTGCTGAATGCCTAACTGGTATTTTACCTATTTATTTAGATATGGAAAGGATGATATTATACCACTATAATGTACTTTTCATTGTATGCGTTGTGCGCTTCTGAGTCATGGAAATGTAAGCCTGCTGTAGCTGCCAAAATAGTCATTCAGCCCTGAGCCCAAACCATGGAAACAGCCATATTAATGGTCATTACACCAAGTAATTTCTAAACATGATGTTGTCTTTCATAGTCTCAGCTGAACACTATTACAGGGAGATTCAACACATATAATTATCACACAGATTAATGAGTCCTAATTAATATTTGTGTATAAAGAAATTGAGATATATGGAAGATTGTCAAATTGATTTTCATATTTCTTAGTCAATCAGCAATAAAACCAGGTACCTATTTAAAAGGTAGTTAAATATAAAAGGGGTAAATGCTTGTGATTTAAGTGCCCAATATGATTTCAGGCGTAAGTTACTTACAAAAGCCAACGAATTTATAAGAGGCAACTGAAATGGTTAGCAGACAGTGGGTAATGGATAGGTATAGAACTGAACAAGGCAAGACTAGATTCATGGATGTTTTTATAGTGAGACAGTCAGTTTAAAGGGTTTGAAGGTAGAAAGCTAGTGAACTTTGTGTTTTTCGAAGTTTCAGAAAATATCCTAGATGTCTAGTTTCTTAAAATCTGTTTTCATAGCTCCAGAGTATGGTTAGGTGTACATTTCTATCATTCTACAAGATAAAAAATAGTGTGTCGTTTGGGGTTTTTTTGTTTGGCTGTTTTTTAAGTAGTACAGAGGGGGATCAGATGTTTCTTTAAGGTTTATAGTTACTGGTGCTGCTTGGAAAAGTATCTTACTCATACCCCAGGATATGATCATAAAGCTATACTTCATGAATGGTTGATACTCTCAGCTCCTCTTAAAAATTAGCCCAAAGTTGACATCACTGGGCAAAGGAAGCATCATCTGTTATATGATACAGCCAGCAGAATCTTAAGAGGGAATTGTTATGTTCTTAATTGTTACCCATCTATTCCAATGTGCTTTTTAATAATTTTCCTTCACACACCACTGCATTTTTAATACCAAATATGCCAAGCATTGCTTTTCATTTGATATGTTATGTAGGATCTCTTTCTGCAAATGTTTGCATGTACAACTATATTAATGTATGTAGCCTCGCTCCAAGAAGATTGCATCTTTATGTGTTCTGAACTTTTTAAGAAAGGACATGAACCTTTGCAGGATCAGAGCAATAACTGACATTTTAAAATAATTCCATGTTTTTTTCAGGCACACAGAGTTGAAACAACCTCAAAGCATCAAATTTGGTTTTGTTTTTCTGAAAATGGATTTGATTTAATAATATTTTTTTTAAACTTAAAAAATTAAATTCTCCTTTTGTTATATAAATGTAAAGCTTGTACTCATCTGAGCATTTCAGTGCTATAGAAACAAATATAGAAAAAGTTTCTTAGCTCTCCCCAGTGTATTCTGCCAGAATGTAAATGTGGCTTTTTTTTTTTTTTTTTTTTTTTTTTTTTGGGGAAAAACGGAGCAAAGGGGGGGGGTTTTTTTTGGAAGGAAAA